CAGAAATAAAAACAACAGAAAGTATTTCTAAACAGTGTGAGACTTGAAAAAACTTTCTTGAAACTGAAAAGGAAACTGCAGTCGGTCAGATGTTCTTTAGAATCAAAGGCGTGTTCCTCTCCAGGGGCGAACAGTGTCCGTTTTTCCCAGGTGTCTGCACCACCATTCCAGTCGGAAAGAATTGGCTGATGTTTCTGTGCAGAATGTGAAAACAGCATTTGCTTCTCTCCGCTCCTTTGCTGTATCTCCTTCACTTGCACAATGAACATGCTGGGGTGCACACTGCCGCTCGTAACCTGTGCTGTGGGGACTCATCAGAGAGGATCCACATCCTTGCATAGCTTAACGGCTACTCTCACCGCCTTGGAGACAAGAGCGCACATTGTGTGACCCCAGCCATTTTGTCTAAGCAATATTGTCTGTGACCTGGTAATAGAGTGAGACAATTAAATCCATTTTCTCAATTGACACTTATTAAGCACCTCCTGTGTGCAGAAACCTGTGTGACCAACTTGCCCTGGTTTGCCCAGGGCTTTCTAACTTTAGCACTGAAAATTCAGAGTCCTACAATCCCCTATGTCCCGGGCAAACTGAGGTGATTGGTCGCCTGACCCATCCTCAGCACTGAGACAAGTTAGAACCTTGTCTTTGCATCAAGAAGCATGTGATCGAAGAGCAAATAAGAAAAGTTAGACAGTTATAAGTGTGGGGTGATCAGTACTTGGAATCGTGAACAGGGCACCGGGGAACACACTGTTGAATCTGAATCTAACTTGGGGACAGAGCACACCTTGAAAGAAACAATGCTGAAGTTTAGTTAAAGAATGAGCGGCATAACACACACAGTTAAATTTTAAAAATATTAAAGGAGGAGATACCTGTGGAACAATGCAATTATATTCTTTCTCTGTGCCAAAAAATACATATTTGGTTCAGATTCTCACAGCATAAAGGTGGTAACTTCGTTATAAAATAATCAGAAAAGGAATGCTTATTCCTGCTATCCTTTTTTAAAATTATTGTCTAAAGTTTTACACATGTTTCCTTTTCCCCCAATTGACCTCCCCACCCCCATCCATTCCCACCCCGGGGAAGCCAACACCGCCCCAGTGTCTGTGTCTATTGGTTATGCTAATATGCATGCAGACCAGTCCTTTGGTTGCTAACTCCTGCTATCCTTTATCATGGAACAGAACGAGCCTTACATAGTTCAGTCCTGAGGCTGGGGATCAGTCCTTTGGTTGCTCCCTAACTCCTTCTATCCTTTATCATGGAACAGTAAGAGCCTTACATAGTTCAGTCCTGAGGCTGGGGATAGTTTCCCAATGAGTTAGGAACAGACAAATCCTGCCTCTTTCTCCGGGGTTTGTGTTTGCGACACTGAGAATGAGTGGCCTGGAGGGGGAGCCCAGACTGGAGGTGAAAGACACCAAAGCGGAACAGAGCAACTCTGAGAGATGTTATTTCTGACATACTTAATTTGAAAAAATTCAAACTTACCAAAAAATGCATTTCAAAAATTTATATAGCTCCATTTAGGTTCACTATTCATTTAAAATTTGCCGCATTTGCTTTCTCTTTCTCCATGCATCTAGGTATTGATTGTTAGATGATCATTGCCATTGTTGTTGTTATTATTATTATTATTAAGGCATTCTAGAGTAAGTTGTGGGAATGATAACTCTTTCATTCTAAATACTTTAGCATGTATCTCCTATGAAGATGATATTCTTCTATATCACCATAGTACAATTTCATATTCAGGAAATTTAACACTAATACAATAGTCCATTGATATGGAGCTATTATTCAAATTTTGAAAACTATTCAATAATGTCCTTTATGGGTATTATTTTCTAATTTAGCACCCAACCCAGAGCCAGGTACTACACTTAGGAGCCCTATCTCTTATTCTTCTTAATCTGGAAAAACCTCTCAGCTTTTCTTTGTCTTTTATGACTGACGATTTGAGGAGTACAGGCCAGTTGTTTTGCAAAAAGTCCCTAGCTTTGTGTCTGTCTCATGTGTCCTCCTAATTGGATTCAGGTTATGAATTTTGGCTGCAGAAGTGATGTGCCCTTCTTGTCACATCGCATCAGGAGCTGCACGACATCAATTTGTCCTGATACTTTGATCACTTTGATCACTTGGGGACCTGCCTATTTCTTGCCCTGTAAATTGGCCAGTTTCCCCTCTGTAATAATACATAATCGGGGGAGGGTGTACTTTGGGGTTGTGTAAATATCCTGCTCTCCATCATACTTTTTACTCAACATTTTTCGTATTTGTCCTAGTTTGCTAGGGCTTCTGCAGCCAAGTATCACCAACTGAGGGGCTTACGACGACAGAAATTGAATGTCTCACAGTCTGAGGGCTGGAGGTCTGGGAGCCCAGTGTCAGCAGGGCTGGTTTCCTCTGAGGCTGGGAGGGGGAGTCTGCCCCAGGCCTCTCCCCAGTGTCTGGTGCTTTGCTGGAAATCCTCTGAGTTCCTTGACTCATGGATGCATTACCCCAGCTCTGCCTTCATCTTTATATGGTCTTCTGCTTGTGTGTCTCAATCTTTGTATCCAAATTTTCCCTTTTACAAGGACAAATTCATATTGGATTAGGGCCCACCCTCAAGACCCCCTTTTACTCCATCATCTCTGACAACGCTATTTCATAATAAGGTCATAGTCTCAGGTACTGGTGGTTCCAACTCCATCACTTTTTGCAGGGGACACAATTCATTGATGATATTTGCTGAGATCAGGTGTTACTATGGTGGTTGTGGAATGGTGATTTTTCTAACTAGCTTCCTTTCAACATTTATCAGTTGGTATTTGGGGCGTTGGATTTTTTTGTAATTGAGAAACAGAATGTTCATCCATCTATGTGCTATCTATCCAGGAATGACACTTACCTTTAAAACAAAAAGAAATAAAAATGAGAAACAACATACACAGACATCTGTGCCTAGAGAGGTGAGCAGAAAAGGACAGTCTCTTATTGCAAACTTTCTTACCCAATCAGACCGCCTGGGAGGCAAGCCAGGGATAGTCTGTGGGCCAAGGTCACAGGAACAGAAGTGGGGAGGGAGGGAAGACTCAGAGTGCATGTTTCAGGACCTCCTAAACACTTCTGATGTGTAAGTTACTTCTTGGAATGTCATTACTCATGGATTGTTTTTCACACTCTAAAGCAAAAGTAGCATCACACTATTCCAGCGGTTCTCAACCTTCCTAATGCTGCGACCTTTTAATACAGTTCCTCATGTTGTGGTAACCCCCAACCATAAAATTATTTTTGTTGCTACTTCATAACTGTAATTTTGCTACTGTTATGAATCATTATGTAAATATCTGATATGCAGGATGTATTTTCAAGGGTCGCGACCCACAGGTTGAGAACCGCTGCAGAGGTACCATTTCTCTGATTCAGCATTCCCGTCATCTTTAGCACTTCATGGGTGAGCAGATGTGTCCCAGGACTGAAGCCCCTGTCGTCATCAGAACTACAGTTAAGCAGGGGCCAAGGACTATCATTCTAGAACTACTAAGAAGCATGACAGGGGCCAAGGACTCTCATTCTAGAACTACTAAGAAACATGACAGGAGCCAAAATCAATTGTCAGAGTCTTTTATGTCTTTGTGTTCACTCTTAAACCTGACAAAAGATCTTTGGAAATTTTTTTTTTTCTCAAGTCTATACTCCATCCACAGGAAACACAGAATACTTTTTGTCCAAAGACTATTGATCCCAAATGTACAACAACACCATTAAGTCTCAGTGGTTCTCCCTTCTGAGGTCATATATAGATTTGCTAGGAATGTCATAACAAAGTACCACAGACTGGATGGCTTAAGCCCACAGAAAGTTTCTGTCTCACAGTTCTGGAAGTTAGAAGTTCAAAATCAAGGTGTCGGTGGGATTGGTTCCTTCAGAGGAAGGGGTCTTTCCCAGGCCTTTTCCCTTGACTTGTAGATGGAGGCCTTCTTCCTATGTTCCCTCACATTGTCTTCCCTTTGTGCATATCTGTGTCCAGATTTGCCCTTTTTGTAAGAACACCAGTCCTACTGGATTGGAGTACCCAAATGACCTCATTTTAAACTTCTTTGCCTCTATAAAGACCATCTCTCCAAATAAGATCACATTCTGAGGAACTAGGGGTTGGGACTGTAGCATATGAACTTAGGGGACATAATTCAACCTATAGCAGATGCATTTCAAATGTTTAAACACTTTCCCAATGTTCATGTAAGTAGAGCAGGAAATCAAGGTTGTGTCTGCATGATTCTAGATGTTAATTATGGAACTGAAATGGGACTGAACTTCTCTCCTACCCTTTCCCCAGGAGCACAGTCCGTGTGGAGCCTGAAAACACTAAAGATGGTGTGACTAAGCTTCTCCGGGCCACCCATCCACAGGGCTGTGGATGGTACACTTGCCTGTGTTTGGAACGACTATTTTCTCTTTGGCAATAGAGATTTTTAAATGGGTTTGGGTTGCTGCTCGCCAAGTATGTGCTATACAGGCCTGTCAATTAGTCAGGAGCAGAGGTTACCAGCAGCTGAATTAGTGACAATATGTAGTTCTTGCAGAAACAAGTAGACCATTGGGAAAGATGTTTTATCTCTTGGTGCATTTATGTGACATCCAGGCAAATGAATTCTCAAGAATGTATTTGGAGTGTTTGCAGTGAGACACACCTACTTCTCCCATTTGGACAGGGATCCAGAGCCAGTTGAGATGCTTCATAAGTTCTTAACTCAGAGGATAGGGGGGACAGAAGAGATGGAAAACAAAAAGTGGATTACTTGAGAGCTTTCTACCAGAAGCTGGAGGAAGATTGAGAGAGGAGTGAGGGAGGCTTTCCTGGACAGCAATCCTGTCTCCCTCTTAAAACCAAGTGTTTGTACTGGTTCTAGCACACATCCTCACCCCCCTGCGTGGTGTCCTTGTGTAGAGATGGACAGCACCTGGGGAGAATGGTTACTGTCTTCCCTTGCTTTCTTGATCAGGTCACAGACATAAAAGAGAAACTGAAGCTCTCTAAAAAGGTCTGGTCGGCATTGCCCTACACCATCTGCAAGGATGAGAGCGTGACAGCGGGCACGTCCAATGAAGAGGAATGCTGGAACGGGCACAGCAAAGCCAGGTGAGGGGCGACTCGCTGTTCTTGCGGACAGGGCTCTGCGCATCCAGCTCCGGAAGGCAGTCCTGGCACAGCTCCGCAGACCTGTTTATGCAGAAAGCAATGGAGGGTGGAGGGGACAAGTCGTCACTTAGCGACAGCTGTTCAGAGTGACAGGTTTGATGGGCACCTGGGAGCACTTACTCTCAAGGTGCCATTAAGCATGGAATCCTTGTTCTGAACGCCTTGCCTCTGGATGAGGTGAAGGCATGGTGACAGATGCCAGGTTACGGATATCCTGAGATCACGAAGAGCCTTTTATGTTCACTTAATGACTTTAAGACAGCGGAGCTATTTTTATCCGTAGTTAAATTTGCACGGCTTGCTGTGTTTTTCCATCACAAGTTAAACAGGAAGTGAAAATTCAACTGTAATTTTTTTCACCCTTGAAGACAAAAAGTGTTTTGAAGCGCTCATTGAAAGGGGAAGAGGGGAAACAAAATGATGGAGGGACAGCCAGGAGGGCACTGTCACAGGTCCCCTGCCAGGAAAGTCCCACTGGAGCCTCCTGATGAGAGATGGCTCTGTTGTCACCCTGCTGCTCTGCTACCCAGTGCTATCGCCGCTTGATATGAAATCTCTCAATTTCTTGGATCAGCCCAGGAATGGGTTTGGCCCAAGTCATCATTGGGTGGAGAAGTTGGACAGGGGAACTGGCTGGCTGGGAGTTGGCAAGCAGGGCAAGACACCAAAAGAGGGGTCTGCCCGAACCCTCCCCAATGGGGATGCAGGTGGGTAGAGCAGCTGGTACGTTGGCCTCCAGGAATCTTTGGGGATTGACCAGCAGGTGGAGAAGCTAAGAGGGGTGTCTGTTCTGGAGCCTTATTGGGCAGTTTGGGGCATATGAAGCAGCTGTGATCAAAAGACAGCAAGAAGATACATGGATGTTAACTTCAGGAGAAACTGCAGAAGGTAAGCAGGCATTTGGTGAGATGCTCACTAGGTGTTTTGCTTACATTGTAGAGTTGTGGTTTTTAGCATCTATTGGCAGTCATATTATTAGCTTGCTGGGGAAAGCTTCACAAAGAGAAGACTAGACAGCTATGGGAAAAACTATATTTCAAGTAGCTCCAAAATATCAATGTGTAAATCTTAGATCATGAGGTACAGGAAGATATTCACGATATCAGCAACATGCTCTTCAAAAATGCCTAGTAATTTACCAGTGTCTGGCCTTTTAGGACAGAGACCATTGGCTAGCAGATGCAGCTGTGAGCTACCAGCCTCTAAGGTTCTTTCCTGGTAACTGAACAGAAAGAAACTGTGAAGGATGACCAGATGGCCTAATGCAGGGGTCCTCAAACTACAGCCCGTGGGCCACATGCAAATACAAATATTGTATTTGTTCCTGTTTTGTTTTTTTACTTCAAAATAAGATATGTGCAGTGTGCATAGGAATTCGTTCATAGTTTGTTTGTTTTTAAACTATAGTCCGGCCCTCCAACGGTCTGAGGGACAGTGAACTGGCCCCCTGTTTAAAAAGTATGAGGACCCCTGGCCTAATGGATAAAGTGGCTGATTTTCTGAGCTGCTGTTTCCCATCTGTATTTACCTTTCAGTCTTGGCTAAAATGAAGGCTGTGTTTTGAACCACATTCCCATGAATGGTTACACAGGTTGCTGGATTTTGGTGCATATACAACTTTGAAAATACCAAATAAAAAGTGGCTGCAGGTGTGGACTGGGGAGGGGATACATGCCATCAAGAAAATGAATGGGGAAGGTAAAGATCATTGAAGTTAGAGCTGGAGGTGACTGGGATTCTTCAGCCAAGTTCCTCATTATGTTCACCAGGATCACAGACAGGGTAAATGATTAGTCCGAGGTTACCCAACAAACAAGGGTGACAGCTGAAATCTCCCAAATCCTAGCCCAGTATTCTTTTCACTTTTATATCCTGCCTCTAAAACACAGCCCTCCCCAGGTTAGGAGAACAAATGAAACAGATCCTTAGCTCTGAAAAAGATTTAGTGAATCTGCCCTGGCCAGCATGGCTCAGTTGGTTGAGCATCATCCCAATGCACCAGGAGGTTGCAAGTTTGATTCCCAGTCAGGGCAAATGCCTGAGTTGTGAGCTAAATCCCATGGAGGATGAGCAAGAGATAGCCAATGTCATCGATGTTTCTATCTATCCCTCTCATTTCCCCTCTCTCTCTCTAAAATCAATAAAGACATTTTTAAAAAAGATTTAGTGAATCTACATTGATTCATTAAGTTAATCATTCAATCAGCAATATCTTTAAGCACTCCCTCTGTCCAGATATCATGCACAACTCTATGGATTAAATGCTATAACATGGCAATGTTGTCTGTCAACATATGAAAAGGCACAGTGGATTTTGGAACTTCAAGTACCATACTGTGGGACTGTAGGTTCAGGAAAGGACCACATAGGTGGTACTGGAACAGCACCTGGAACAGTACTCAGGGATCATATTTTAATTTTATCCTGAGGACCATGGGAAGCCATTGAAGGACTTTATGCAGGTGAGGGAACTCATCAAACTTAATGCAATAAAATCATTTGCAAGAATATGCCAGAATGTAACCCAGTATATTATTAAAAAGATGAGGCTGTCAAATATTTGTGACTCGAGTTATATTCCCATTGAAATATTATAATTTCATTGTTTCTTTTAGTCCTTTTTGAAAAATTCTTCTACTGGAATATTATAACTTTATACTTAATAGCATAATAAGTAGATAACCAATAAAGACTTCTTGAATTAAATTTAATTGAAGGTTTTTCTTATTCAAAATATTAATTGATCTTGAGACTTTTTCATTTAAAGAAATTTAACTGAAATTTTATAAGTTGAAAAATCTATTTTTAAAGCAGATAATGACCTATTTTTTCCTACTTTTGAAGTATAGATTTTCAGATGACAGACATTTAAGAATGCTTGTTTAAAAAAAGAAGAAGAAAGAAAGGTTATTCTTATTATCCATCTGAAATAAAATAACCAGAACTTTTAAAAAAAAATCCATTGACAGGTGTTAATGGAAATGGAACAGCAATGCTTATTAGCATTAATAGAGATTGTCACAGTCTAGAGTTGCTACACTCGAGCCTATAGGAAGAGACCACTGGTAACCCAGACATATTCCCTCTCTTTATGTTTTATTGACTCCTTCAGCCACATTCTTCAGGCACATCCACTGCTGAAGCCCTTTTATCGATCTAGGTATTTGGTCAGGCCTGTCTTCCATCACCTATATTTCTCCTGATTACTAGTATTTTCTGAATGCTACTCCATAGCTCTTTACCATGCTTCCTTGATTCAGAAACATACCTATTTCACATTTGACATTTCTGAAATCAAAATTACTCCTATGGTGGATATGTCCATTTACCTCAGCGATTATTTTATTTTTCCAAATAGCTATTATTAAATGAATGGCATCTGTTGAAATTAACGACTTGAAATAGAGAGAACAGGAGACACATATATTTGGCTGCTATGGCAGCCACAGGGTGAAACCTGCTGTGTTGAGATAATGGTCAAGGGTGTGTGAGCACTGGCTCCCCTAGTATATGGACCCACCTTTGTACCTCGCCCCCACCTTCACCCATCCCTGGGAGATCTCACTCTGCTTTAATAGCTAAACTAGTCTGGAAACAGGGGGTAGAGCACAAGGAGGAGACTGTGCCCTTTGATGGGAGGAAATTGGCAGGTGGCCATGACCCTGTCAACATTTAAATCTCTATTCTGACAATACCAGGTCATCAAGAGGACCCTGTCCCTGCTTCCCCTTTCCTTTCCAGCCTCTTGGGACAATATAAAAACCAATGCGGTAATGTCCATAAAAATAGGTTGTCAGCTTAAAAACAATGCTTCTCAAACATTGATATGCAGGCTAAATTTGGGGCACCTTGTTAACAATGAAGATTCTGATTCAAGAAGTCTGGGTGGGGCCTGAGATTCTGCATTTCCGACAAACTTCCAGAGTGTGCAGTTGTTAGTGGCCTCGGGACTGCAATTTGAGTAGCAAGGCTCTGAGGCCAAGTTTGCTAGATTTAGCACATAAAAACACCAGACACCAAATGGAACACACGTATACTACAAAACAGATTCATTGTTTCCCTGGAATTCAGACTTAACTGGTACACCTGTATTTTATCTGGCAGTTGCCCTTTAAGCTCCTTTGACATGTAAGAACTTCCCTTTTTATTCCTCAGATGGTATATTGTAGCATGTTATTTTCTCTTTGTCTTCATGGAAACCTGTGATGTTCTCTTTAATGGGATGCCCTTGTGGGCCACAATGAGCACTTTGAATCCCTGCTAGAACTTGATTCAATTAGTGGCTTAGCCAGCTCAAGCCACGGTAACAAAAATACTATAGACTGGATGGCTGAAACAAATTTAGTTCTCATAGGCTAGAAGTCCAAGATCAAGGTGCCACAGGATTGGGTTCTGGGGAGAGCTCTCTTCTTAGCCTGTGCCCTAACATGACAGAGAGAGAGGGACTCTGATCTCTTCTTTTTCTAAGAGCACTGATTGCATCATGGGGGCTCTACCCTCACAACCTTGTCTAAACCTAAGCCTTCCAAAGGTCCCGCCTCCAAATACCAGCACATTGGGGACTGAGGCTTCAGCATATGTTCTGGGAGAGGGGAGGCAAAAAAAAAATGTAGTCCACAGTACTTAGTACAAGAATTACATCCTACTTTATCAGAATAGCTAAGAAAGGACTTTCCTTATAATTCATGGCAACAGCTATCACCCAAGGAAGGCAGCCTGGGATGCATGTGCAGGGGCCAGCAAGAAGGTAGCCTGGGGTGCAACTTTTTAGGATGAAGCAGGAGAAGCCACGGCAGCACTCTGATTCAACTCAGACAAATAGGAATTGAAAGGAAGCTAGTAAGTAAGGGAAGAAAATCGATAATCATCTAGAAGGCCAAAGGGAAAAAAATTAAAGAGTCATGGTGCAGGTTACAAATCTAGGCTTCCTATAGTTCCCA